CCTGCTGTAAGTATAGGGGCTCCAAAGGAAAAGTCAGCATGTTTGAAGTCTTGTGGCACACATAGTGAAGTCTTGGGGCACACATAGTGTCTAGGAAACGCCTTTCTACGCCCATGTAGTTACGATCTACCTGGTTTAGAGGTTTAGGATGACCTGGTTGTTCATTTTTCCGACCATGGCTTCATTGAGATTTGCACTCAGGTACGGCTGTGCACATTTCTACAACCACACTTACAAACATTGTTGTTTGCACACCGGGCGTTCGAAGCAAGGTGATCTGTTTTGACCTTTGGGACAGTACTTGTACGAGCTGTCTCGAATTCAGACAGGTTGGCTCGAGGACACGATTTGCCCACTCAGTGCAAGTTGTTTCTAAACACGTTCCGCCTTTCAGCCCAATCACGATTCTGTCGTAGACAACACTCAACCTTTTTTTCGTGAGCATGCGATGTGTAAGTTATCATGTGAAGCACGATTACGGACAAGTATTTCCCCCTTGTGACCATTGTAAGGTATCGTGGTAGATCTACACACACACATGCAAGAATAAACCTATCGGGCTACATGCTCCCAGAGCTTAGAGAAAGAGTATTCGGGCAGATTGCCGTGCTCTTGTCCTCTATGCCGAGTGTCTTCAGCCCTGACAACATCAATGTTACCTAGATGTGCCTTCTGCTGTTCGCGGCCGGCTGAGTGTATCGCCGAACGACTCAGCAAATCCGAACATTGAGTTTTTGGATCTCTTAGAGTTTACTTCGCGGGTGGAGCACACGCACATAGAGACACATGCACAAGTAGGTGTATACACACATATATATATATACATATGTGTGTATGTGTGTATGTGTATATATTTCTTGTATAGGCAAAGCCTATTGGAATTCGAGTTCCGGCTGAGGCTTCCGCTTGCTGTTAGACAATGACCTCATGAAACAGGGTGGGCTGAAGGAAAAAATCCTGACACGTCCCCACAAGGCATCGAATCTTGCATCCCTTTTTAGATTTCTGTCTCTCAGGTGGTCCCACACTCCTGCATTCCCTGCCTTCGGGGCTGATTCGATTGGTTCTGCCGAGGCATGTCGCTCGAAGCATCAAGTCGATCTTGAACAAATTGACGCTGGAGAAGCATCCCGGCTAGGCTTTGGAGTTCAAGCGGGTCTCTGGCATTCTTATTAAACTTTGTTCAGAGCACGAAGAGCTGGTAGGTCCTTGCGTTGTGCGGCGTGTGGCTTTCCTGATATGGATGTACAGTGATGCAATATATCGCCGGGTGCGGGTTTCTTTTCACTTTCGAAGCCTTTCGTTGCTACTTATGACACACTTCTCTAGTGTTTAGTACGTTGGTCTGCCCATGCCGGGCAGACACTGACACAGAGTTGACGGAGCAGGGAAGCGGGCTTTCTAGTGCAGCGTGGAAGACCGAGCCACCGTGGCTCTATGAAGCAGATTCGAACACAGCAATCGAACCGGCACTGCATGATGGCTCAGTGATTCAATGATGTTCCCGGGGCTTTAACCGAACTTGTTCGTCATTGGGTTGGTGGCGGGAGCTCGCTAATTCCCAAAAGTAGTAAGCCTCGCCGGGTCGGACGAGGTCTCCACGAGTCTGACGACAACGGGATTTTTGTCTAACTTACTCACCCGGTGCCCCAGTAAATTACAACACTACAATGTTTTCATGAAGCTTACCTAAACCCTAGACCCTAAACTCGAAGCCTCACGCCCAAACACCAAGACTCACTGCTTATCGCAAGCTTCCGGCTGAAGGTTCGCAAGACTGACGCAGCAGCTGCTTGCATGCGGCATTTCCACCTCAAGCCATATGGAGGTTCTGATCCACGAGGCTGCTTCGGCAGGTTTTTCAGGTTTGTTATTCTGTTATTCTGGTTGGGCTTAATTGGGGAGCCGGGAGGTTTCAGGTTTCGGTGGCCGTGCTGTTCCGTGATCGATTCCAGACCTACTCCACGAGCGTTGCATTTGGAGCCCCGCAATTGCTTCTACCTGGCAGCTTCGTGCCAAACTTCGTGCCACGCAGCACAAGTGGAACATCAGCAACTTGAGTTAAAAGTCCATGGCATGCCGAAAAATCGGCGACGGCCACTCCGGTCCGAATTCCCTTTTTGTCATATCTTCAGAGAGTGATAAGAAGTACGGCGCTCCCGGATGAGAAATTGCATTGTAAATGGCTTGGCCTGACAAGGCTATCCGCCACGAAACGGATGGAACCCGGCCAGATGCCTAGTTACCGGTCAACTTTCATCGCTGTCTGCAGGTCTTCGAGAAAGCTACGACGCAGCATCATTACATTGTGCCTCGGTCCCATGTTGGTGGCTTCTTGTTTCTGCCCCCTCACACTTACCCCACTGTCGATACAATGGCCAAAGAGATAGCCGAGCAACTCTGGCTTCAATATGTCCACTCCAGATAACCACTAGGCCTTCAGCCCCGGCATGAGTCGTATCCTGACTTGACTGAGCACGACTCAGCAGTCGTGACACGTGATGTCAGCTCACCAGCGTCAATCTTCCTGTCCCACAAAGATGGAACTTACCTGAAGCTCTGAACGCTTCTACTTGAACACCGATGCCCCTGGCAACGAATGGCCCGATTATGCCCGGTTCATTCTTCTACAGATCTCTCTCACGAACATGACCAGAAGCCGTACTTCGATTGGGCGCAAAAACTAACGGCCCAACCTTAAAAAAGAGGCCAAAGGCAGGTGCAGGAACCCAGGGGGCCGGACTGCTCATGCCTTGGCTGCCTGCACGTTCTTTAGGGCCTAGGCAGTTTAACATTTAGGATGTAGGATTTTGGGTTAAGAGTGTGTGAACCAGAGGTGCAGCGCATTTATCTCGCAATCGAACGAACGAATATTAGATCTCATCTCAGTCCTAAAAGGCTTTGAGTCCTCGCAAGGACATGTACACGGACCTTTGTGTGCTGCTCCACGAGCACTTCACGGTCAATCCTTTCGAGGGTGCTGGCAGCCTACAAGCAGGACGCAAGCTTACTTTCAAGCGTCTGTGACATGGCGTTGTATGAGGTTGTTCAGCATGTGGCACTTGGTGATCTGTTGTCGACCTTTTCTCGTAATCGCTTCAGTTCTTCCAGCTGGGTGTTTGTGCACGTGCTGCTGCGGAGTAGGCTGCGTATCAACGTAGGCGGGGCGCCCACCATGGTCTACAGGAGGATTTCGGAAAGGAAGCCCAACAAACGGATGTCATCTGAGGTTGTCAAAAGCATTGGCCAAAATAGCAGTCCAGCTTTTCAAAATTTTTCTTACTTACACGAGATCACCTCATCTAGCTAACCACGCACGGGAATAACTATTTTTACGTGAAGAAGATGGGGGCCGCACATCGTAAAACGCGACCTGACACTCATACAATGAACAGTCGCTCATTTGGCCTCAATGCTACAAGCCTTAATCCTGAAGCCTATATGCGTGTGGGATCCGAGCCAGGTGGCAAGCACGACAACTTGCACTAAACCCTAAACCCTAAACCCTAAACTTGGAACCTGCAACTCTCCTCGATCCTCAGCCCGTAAACTTGGAGACTCCGAGCACGATTTATGTACATAAAAGCTTTCCTCGTAACCCTTCTGGTCATCCGGAACAAGGCTGCTAAAAACATCCCTAAACCCCTAAAGCCCTAAAGCCCCCAAACCCGACTCGTAGCTCTTATCGAAACCTCAGGGGCTGAGTAGGTAACCTTTAACCATTTGGGGCTAATAGAAACCTATTTACCCTTCAAAAGGTTACCCTTTTTCGGGCTAAGGTACTCGGCCCTTAAACCCCTAAACTTTTAAACCCCTAAACCCCTAAACTTTTAAACCCTTGAACCCCTAAACCCCAAAACTTTTAAGCCCCTAAAGCCCTAAACCCCAGTAGGCCTTTTCGAAAAGCCCCTTGGGGAGCTGAAGCCCAGGCTTCTGGACGAGTGTCAGATCTCCTTCGAGCGGCTCTTGGCCCCACCGGAGGCAGGAGTTGTGTTTAGGGTTTATAAGGGGTTTAGGGGTTTGGGGTTTAGGGGTTTAGGGGTTTGGGGTTTAGGGGTTTGCGGCTTTAGGGGTTTAGGGTTTAGGGAGTTGTGATCTTCTTTCCATGCATGTGCTTCTCTTGCGGGGTACAGGTTAAGGATGTTTTGGTCTGGTGGGGATGATTTGAATAATCAGAATCCTGTCTTTACTTTTGTTGGTAGTGTAGATATCTACGGATACTTTGAGGGATTTGCTTGTGCGGCAAGTTGCGAGAGATGCTTGTCATCATCAGTAACGAGTAGAGATATGATTTAAATTTAAATGCTCGGAAGTCTGGGCTACGATCATGTGATGGAGCTTTGGGCGCCTTACAGCAAAAATGTTTCGGGAAGGATCTGCAGCAAAACAAACCTCTGCACTTTTCTCGCCCCTTACTTTGCCCTAAACCCTAAACTTTAACCCTAACCCTAAACCCTAAACCCTGTATTTCCAGAAGCCCGAAGTCCGAGAGGGGAAGAGTTTGACCTTTCGCAAGAAGCCTTTGTTAGCCCCAGCTCCTCGTTCCTGGCCCGTCGCAGGGCTTAGAGGAGCTGACGCCAGAAGAGCGAACGGCTGCGGAGGTAGGTTTCCAGGAAGCATCGGAAAGTGCGTTTTGATGTATGTCTCAGCAACCCCGCATCAATCAGCGAGTGTGTGTGGCCTACGAACATCCATGCAAGCCTACTGCATGATACACATACTAGAGCTTGGTTCTCATAGTACCTACCTACTTAGCTCCGTACCTGACTACCCAGCTGCTTGCCTGCCTGCCTGCCTGCCCTGCCAGCCCGCCCGCTCGACCGCTTGCCTGCCCTGCCTACATGCATACATACATACAGTCACATATAAATACATACATCTACACACACACACACACACGCACTCACGAATACGTTGCTATGTAGCCGAGATTCAAGTGCGCACGTAGGGTTCCTGCGTGACCCAGTGCCGCAATAGATCACTGAGGCTACAAGACCCACATGCTCGGCAATATCAAGCTGGTTGGCGGGCTTCTTTCCCGCGGCATGCTTGCCAGCAAGGCTCCCACCCATGAAACAAGTGCTCTTTGCTTGCGAGGCGCAAGCCAGCGAAAATGGTAGCGGTGAGGGAGAGACAGTACAACGAATGCTCGAAACAGTAGCAGTAACAGTGGAGGGGGACGCCCTAAGACTAGGAAGATAGTGTCCTTGTAACGTAGCCGTTTCAAAACCCTGCATCCATCATGCCTGGAATAATAGGCGTCGCCTATTTCTCAACAACCCCCCCACCCCTCCGCCCCTCTCAGGGGTCTCTGTGCAGTAGCGTGGTCGCGGTCGTAGTCGTCGGAGTCGGAGTCGGAGGAGTAGTAGTGGTGGTGGTGGTGGTTGCAGCAGCAGCAGCAGCAGTAGTAGTGGTGGACGATGTGCTTTTTGGTCACCCGCACTTTAGGCTGTTTCTGCTTTTCGTATCTCTTGGGGAGGCATTCTCTAACTTTCGTCTCCTTCTGGCCTTCTGGTCGAGGTTTTCTCAGCTTGCTCTCCGCTCCGTTCTCGGTGTCTGTTACAAATTTCGGTTTTTGTTTATTGCTTTTGTTGACTGTCCTGGTCCGCTTCCCAGGTGAATTTTGGTGTGGGTTTTCAGAATCTCTCGAGTTCTTCGTTTTGCCGGCTTTTCGTGTTTCGAGCTTGGGTTGTAAACGGGTTTTTGCCTGTGACTTTAATCATGTTTGTAGTGGTTTCGTGCTTGGGTTTAGAGGCGGGCTGCTGTTCCGAAGTCCCTCAGGGTGATAACGTCCACATGCTACCAGAGTGAGACTTGGGAAGAAGAGAGCATGCGTACCCGGACTATGATAACACCATAGTCTAGTGAAGTGTCTAGTGCGACTTGGGAATCGAGCATCCATGCCGGAACCCTGATATTACCGCAAGCGCGAAATCTAGAACCTAAGCCCTTACGCAGCGTCAGGAAGGAACAGTTGCACGGTAGATTGTCGAGACTTACTTAATCTAAAGCGTGGATGGCGGAGTGCGCCCAAATACTTGCACAGCAAACAAGATTACGAGCAAATGTGTTTTTGCGCAGGTTTCGGTCGAGTTGCTCGCACAGACATGGTCCTCGAGATAACTCAAACTTGTTGCTGCTGCACAATTACAATGCAAAGCCGTCACAGGTGGGCATTGCGATTCTGGAAGAACTCCTCTCCAACCCGACACCGGAGGCGGGAAATTGCGTTTGTTCTAGCACTCGTGTTCATTCTCGCATTACTACTACTACTACTACTCCTCCTACTACTACTACTACTACTACTCCTCCTACTCCTACTACTTCTACAGCTACAGCTGCAGTCACAGCTACCACTACTACGCGACGACTGCTGCTGCCAATGCTACTTTGCCTGCTGCTTCTTGCTGCTGCTGCTGCTAGTATCGCTGCTGCCAGTACTGTCCTTATGCTACCCTCAGGGCGACTGCCGCAACCACCACAGCCGTTGCAACACCATGCAAAGCAGTGCGAGGAATAAGAGGTATGAGCAGACATGGAAATCTGATGGCCACCATGAAACGTAGTGCTCCGATTGGTAGAAATGAGCCTTGGGTTGCATTTTACAAAGAAGACACTAGTCACTGGTAACATTATATAAAAACAATAATAGTAGTACGAAGAAGCATAAGAAATTTAAGACCCAGGCTCTCGAGTCGGCTGCAGCGCTTCTCACGACCTTGGGCCCCACGGCCGACTGCAAGGACCGCCTCTGACAGTTTTACTTTTTAGGGTTGGCAGCCCACTCCCTTCGAATTCGGTAAAGAAGATGTCGTTTGTTTAGACAAGACTGATGAAGGCTTCGTTCTGGCAAACCGCAAGTTGTATGTGTGAGAATTTCTGGGTGGCCACTGACTCTCCCTCGGTTCCTCTTGGGAACTCGCCGTTTTCCCTCCTCGCTAGTCGGCCCTTTGGCAAGCGTGCAGCCAACGGCCTTTGGAGGGTTTCCGGCTGGAAAGTCGTCACCCTGCAAGACACACTTAATACACAGTTGTCACCGATGTCGTCGGCACCATTAGTGCCGGTCGTAGCGGCCACAGTGCATCTTGGTCGCAGCCCCGCGGCACGGCAGCAGAAATTTCGGCTCATGTTGAGAAGCAGTTGTCGCAATACGAGATCGAACTGCACAGCTCTACAGGCCGTTGTGCAGGTTGCAGGCACTAGTTGGTGATGGTTCTGCATCCCTTGTTACCTTGTTGCAGCGCATGCAGCAGGTATAAAGACAGGTCAAACTCACCTAACCCATGCGCCTGGTCCGCCCGGTTCTGAGAGTCAAACAAAGCCCATGAGCCAGACTGTCCAGTTGAAGCTTATCATCCGAGAGCCTAAATACCTCAAGGTGTAGCGGTTGTAGGGAGAGTCATCGGATGGGAGGAGTGGCCGCAATACACCGCGCTGACTCCTGACAGCGCAGTCACAGCGGACGTTGGGTTGTCTCCTCAAAAAACTAGCTTCATCCGCTGTTCCATGGTGTTCTCTGGGGATGTGATGCTGGTTGTCTAAGCCTTCAGGATTTTTGCATGTGCTGATCTCCAGCATCACCCAGGAACGCCATCTTCGACCAGATCTCTACCATTGTGAAAACGCAGAAGTGCCAGCCTCGCGAACGATTCCTCCTGAAGGAGTGCATCTATCCTCCCCCCAAACCCACACAGAGAAAACTCCCAAGAATTGGAACATCAGACACAGCACTGCTGGGAAATCTTCAAGGTTAAAAAGCAGCCGAAGCGGAATTCGAGAATTTGCCTTTGATCCGGGAATTTAGCGTCTTCGGTTCAGTCGGCGCTTAGGTTTTGGAGTTCCAAGCCCTGGGCACTTCCCCCCAAGGCTTCACCTGACCCCTAGAATTTGGGGTGTATTCAGTTCGGGTTCAAGGCGGGAATGTGATATCGCAGCCAAGCATGGGTAACTGTTCACATCGCTCTCTTGTCCTGCCTGCTGCAAGATTCCCCGCGGCAAAGGCATGCATAACGTACCCTCTACTGCTCGTGACTTTCCGCTTTCGAAGGGGATGCTATTGTCTCACCGAAGTTCCAGTAAGTCCTTACTTAGATCGGACATTTGAACCTGCGGCCTCGGCGAGAGTTAGGAGAGTAATTACGTGTCCCAGTATGCTTTAGGATACTAAAAATTATGGTACATTATAGTAGGTTCTAGTACATACTTTATGGTACATTCTAGCAAATTATAGTATTTCATAGGACAAATAGCAGAATATTGTAGAGTATATGTGACCAGGGGCCGAGAGCTGGGCCTGACATAGTCCAAATCGCGAGACTCGAAGCCAACGCGATGATGGCGAACGCGAGAACTTGAAGCTTCTGGAACGCGAGTGATTTGGTTTAGGGTTTAGGGTTTATTCGGTTTAGGGTTGTGCATCCCGGTTTATCGTCCGCTGACGCCACAGCCAACCAAGATCGAAACTAAATCAGTAAGGCTTTGTACCATTGTGTGAAAGGCTTGTGCCAGTCAACAAGCAGAGTAATTGGGCGACAAGCCTCATCAGCAACCCAGCTGGGCGCAGCGACGTGCGAGCCCGTTTGAACTGCTCAGTCACGGCAAAAATCTGGTGAATGTAGCTTTACCTATAGTCTCCATTGTAGTTCCTTTTTGGGGCTACCTTTTAGGATCCTTAATACAAAACTAGTTAAACCAAAAAAAGGAACTACAATGGAGACTACAGGTAAAGCACTTCAATGGACCAGGTCTGATCGGCGATGTGCGAAACATACCTCCTACCGGCCCTGCAGCCAGTCGTGAAGATATAGTTCATCACATTGAAGCCTTGTTTGGAGCCTGAGTCCTTGTTATAATCATACTATGCCCCTAAACCCTAAACCCTAAACCCTAGACATGCTAGATTAGATTGTCTTGTATTTTGTATTCCGCTGTACTGTATTATAGTGCCTCCTTGTTCAGGACCTGTTGGAGCTTCGGGCGGCCGGATGGGCGGCTTTGCTGTTGTTTTGTGGTCGAAAGACGAGATGCTCTATATGTATATTCATACATACATATATACATATCAATCTCTATCTCTGTCTTTCTGTCTATATATCATCAATCTACCTATCTATCTATTTATATTTATGTATTCATCTCTCTCTATCTATCTATCTATCTATCTATCTGTCCATTCGTCTACCTGTTTATCTGTCTATCTATCTACCTATCTATCTATCCGTCCATTTATCTATCTATCCACCGCTCTCTCCATCTATTTCTCTCCATCTGCCTATCTATCTATCTATCTATCTGGTCGAATGCGGTACAGTAGCTAAACATTTATTTATCCATCCAATTATCTTCAAGATACCTATAGATCCATTTTTCTATAGCGGGCTGTTCTAAAGACGCAGCTACAGGAGGAACCTTCGGGAATACACTTGACTACAGGAGTGTGCAAAGCGGAAGAGCCGACTCCTGGGCTCCTCTAGCCGACGGAGTCGTCGAAGATATAATATACAGTATATATATATATTATATAGTATAATGTAGTATAGTATAGTACAGTATATAGTATAGTATAACCATGCGCTGCAACCGCCTAGACTCCTAGACAAGCCAGCGAGCATAGGCTTCCCAGAGGCAGAGGGGTGTGGCTGGTTGTGTTTGCTGATGTTTGTACGTGCTCAGGGTTCCTGAGCCCACACTTGACATCCGAGACAGCACTAGTGAGGTCACGTTCCGACCGCGGAGGCTGGAAAGGGCCATGACGCTGTCCCAGGCGCAGGGGCACTTCGGATGTCGTCCTTGGGGATGGATGCCCGTGGGTCCTGCATAAGTTCGGGGTGTGATGGCTCCGTTCCGAGCCCAGCAGATTCCAAGTTTTGCTTTGTTTGCCGAGGTGAAGCTGTTATGACTCTGTACATAACATACTACATCAACATAGCGTAGCCCGTTCGAAGTTCATGTTATCACAACCATCATCGTGGTCCTAATCTTGATGCCTGCCAGAAACACGCTTTGTACCATGATCATCATTCTCGTTACTCTTGCCCTCTCCCTTGCCATAGTCCTACCCAGCTGTCAAAACCAAACAAGGTAAAACCATCGCTGCAACCATCGCTGTTGCCATTCTGTAAAACGATGCAAACAGATGATGGTGAGAGACGGCCGCAGTGACCCACGTCATCACCATGTTTGTGTGCAGAATGGTTTTACCACCTTACCATCGTCATAGTCATCATCATGGAAATGGTTTATGTATCTATTACAGTCACTCGAGGGCATTGACAGGCAGGCGGGCCATCCAAAAATCATGCACGTACTCATGACGGTGAGAGTTTGTTTGTGCTCTGTGTTTCGCATCTCAACCCATCACCGAGCCCCAAACTCCAGGCGAAGTAGCTGTGCCCGTCCAGGTCGCTGACTCTGCGGCGGGGCGGCGGGTAGAGCCCCAGGTGCGATCCCCGACTTATACTAAAACGAATGCCTCACCGGGGCCAATAAACTTCCAAAGTGGATTTGGATCTAATTATTGTCTTTTCCGACAACCCTGACTTCGGGAAAGCTGCGAGTTGTGGAGGGCGCGACTTATTGCAATGCGGGCTCGTCCTAGCAAGGTGGGAGGCAAAAATTGCCAGTATCATTCCTTGGGGCACTTTAAAGTTGCGTGCTTGGGGATCTTGGGCGGTTCGAGGCGTCAGGGCCCCGGCTCTTACGACCTTTGGTCTCCGCGAAGTGCTCGGGCGCAGAGGGACATGAGGGACTTAGGCCGGTAGTGCAAACCAAGGGGGCTTCAGGGTTTGGGCATCAGGCATTCTTCCCCGTGCTATTATATACCCCATAGCCGTAGCCCTATTCAGACTTTAAAATCGAAAGCTGCATGCTTGGCATTGGCACCGAGAGAAGACACCGCGAGGCTTTGGGTTTCCTGAACCCTACCATGCGAATGCGTTCGGCCCAATGCAAGGGATCCGGGCTGTGCAGGCGATCCGCATGGTCAGTCCTGCGGCGCCGGTCTTCGACCAGGACCGAAGTGTAAGCTGAGGTTGTAGGGGGCCTGAGGGCTTGCGAGTTTTGGGAGAGAGTCTCAGGTCTAGGAGGGCGAGGTGGACCCTCGACCAAGAGCCCCGCCCAGCAAGCGAGTTTTCCCGTCACACGGGAAGCTCGCAATTTTTTCGCCCACAGTTTCAGAGGAGGTCTGTTTGCGTGCTTGTGTCGCACGTCCGGATCCCGTTTAGCCGTTTAGTCATTTGATGCTCTAGCCTGCATGGTAGATTTCCTCGGGGGCCGTCGGATGCGTGCTCTACGATGAAGCTGAATGTTGTTTTGCATGCAGGTGGCTTGCGCCGATTGACCATGAATTTTCGTCGCGTGTAGGCCTCACCCCATGGTGCCTTTGGAGTACAGTGAGTGGTGACAGTATCCATGCATACGTCGAGCTTCCTGGAGACTTTTGTGAATAAATCGTCTACTTTTCTGTGTCCTGGTGAGGACAAGTTCCGTGAGGGCGCGAAGAAGGCCCTCGTTGAGTGCCCTGGCAGGAGACTGATCCGACTTGCACTGCAATCCTTGTTTGACTATGTCTGCCACGTTCTCCATGGTTCTTAGTTGTTGTCACTTCGCTCTATCGACAGCAGCTTTTCTCAGAATCTTGGACAATTGGAGCTACATACTCTGCTTTCGACCGACTGACTGCCAGGCTGCGCTACAGCGGCTGCTTGACCGAGGCCTGGACCTGCTAAGGATAAATTCCTGCTAGTGACTAGTAGCAGTCTGAGCGGTGTCGCCTTGTCAGAATGTGGTTTGATCAGGATGGGAATCATCAAGCAGAGGCTACTTCCCAGCGAAAAAATTCGGCCGGGGTGCGACATGACTTACATGCACGTGTTAATCTGTCGTGACTTTTTCTCGTCCTGCATTGCTGCATGACATACCTGAACGCCGACTCCACAATATGATTTATTAACGCGGCAAGGCTGCACGCAACCTGCAACGCCAGTTAGAGGTTCCAAGCCAAAGTCCCGACCTGTCGACAGAATGTGCCTCCGGACACAGTGGAACTGGAATGGTGATACTAAAGGGGCATAAATTACACCATAATCATAGTAAGGAGGCCGCTGTTACATTGCTGACACCCCAGTGATTACCGGAAGGCCTTGGCGAGATTGGCGTCCTTGGGCGTTCCACCGGTCCCTTGCCGGGTGGTTAATATACGAGCTTCAATAATTACCAATACTATTTTGGGGGTTCCTTATTATAAATATACTATAAGGAGCCCAAAACCCTATTCTAGTTATTCAGGCCCCGACATTAAAGGCTCCAGGTTGTTTTAGGTTTCCAAAGACGTAGAGATTCATGGCGTGCGGCTTCAGGACACAGGCGGAACAGGGTTGGTACGCATAGTTGAAAGAAAGCTCTTCGAAGTCAAGACCCTACGCCTGCATTCTTGACTGCTGAGGTTGCCGAACAAGCGGCTGAGCTGGCTGAGATCACAAGCCATGTGGTGCAGGCTCCCAACCCGCCTTTTTTGACCCAGCACACGATCTCGACTTTCAATGGACACCACATGGTCATCCTGCAATGCGCAGACGTAATGTGCACGCTCCACCATCTACAAACATTCGTGTTTTCGTGTTCTGAGAAGGTTGATTGCCTGAAACAGCTCAGCAGAGCACCCGCCACTCCGACTCAGTATGACTGTGTATATTTCTTAATTTCGATTCTTGGGAGTGCTTTGCCAAGTACTTCGGCAACTCTTTCCGTTGCTAGGAGTTCTTACTGAGTCAAGGCCTTCCCCGAGGTTGTAGCGGGACTCTGCGACACACCCGGGGTGAGTTTCTAACACGAATGAATGTGGAGGCCCCGAGCCATTTGATTTCGTGTCTTCGTCATGCAACTGTAGCTTTCATTGCGGTTACGAAAACGGCTTTTCGCCATGCCATGGGCTGCCACTGTAAACGTGCCAACAACGGAGTTATATACTGCTCGCAACAGCTCTACAAATATCGGCGGTGTTTGCGCTGCCTTGCGACGCATGCGCCCAACGCCCCGCATCATAGCTGCACAAACTGCGAAACTTCAACGAGCCTCTAACGAGATACGGCCCGAACCTACAAACAAGAGTTACGCTGGTGTAGCCATACCGTGTAACGCGTTTGGGGGAAAGGGCAGCAAATCTGCGTCTGGAGGAAGGAGCTGCCGCAGCACGCGAATCAGGCATGAAGGTGATGCTGGAGCTGGCAGGCGTTTCGAGTTCCAGCCTATAATATATTGGCATCCACAATAATCATTCTCAATTTGGGGGGTTCCTTATTGTGATTACACTAGAAAGGACCCCAAAACCCTATTCTGACTTTTAAGGCCCCTATATTAAGGGGTTCAGGTTTCTGGGTGCAACTTAGGAGTTCGCTGAGCTTGGACAGACTGTCTGTGGCTCTGTCGGGCTGAACTCTGAGAATGATGTGGAAGTACACCATAACATACGACGAGATACTATAATAATCCATAATAATCTTACTATAAGATCCTGGAATATACTGTTGTACTAGCATGGACACGAAGTTCTAAGTACCCTGAGCATGAAGACGAAGCCGAGGCCAGGGTGGGGCATGCTTTCCTTCAGGATTGTAGGTTCGACTCCTCAGGCCTCGTGTTGGTTCGTTGCTGTCGAGTCTTCTGCATGAGTTTGGGTGGGGATGGCATAAATTAAAAAGATACCGCGAAACTCTACACCTGTTCTAAAGGCCCCAATATGATGTTCTGTGGCAAACCTTGCCCCTTGCTATAGACATGGTTTTGTGCAACTGTGTCCGTTGAGCGCGTTGCCCCATGGCCTTGACTTGATCCTTTTGCATTGTCCAACATGCTCGAGGCTTACAGCCTGGATTCTGGCCTAGGCTTGTTACCCTTCGCTGCATGCAGGGTAGGTGCTCTGAAACGAAATCGTGTTCTCAAGGTGCAGCTTCAGGCTTATGAGTATGGGCTTATTTCTTGCCCTGATCTGTTTCCACACCTCGAAAAACCTTCAACACCGAACTAACGCCCCCAGCATCCTGAAGCCGTAAGCCGTTAAAGGCTTTTGCAAAAAACTAAACCGATAAGGGTGCACACCGTGTGTGCGAAAGAAACCTCCGCAGGAAGCAAAGGCTGGGGTGCGGACGCGCTCTGCTCCGGGATCACGTTGTTTGTGAAGGCAAAGCCAGCCTGGTGGCTTTAACCTATCGCGAGTTGCATATTTAGGCTGTTCACGACCCCTGTGCACGCAACTTCATGCACAAAGGGTTGTCATCTCAGTAAACAAGCAAACAAGATTTGAAGCTCAGGGTGTAAATGCAAGGCTGGTTCTAGCTTCTGGTTCGTGCAACTTAAAATCCGCATTAAATCCGCCATGCCATCTGGACCATTAGAAGAACAAATTCATGTCAGCCGAAACTTCCAGAGGGACAGGCGTGTGCAATTGTGCGTGCTTGCTCACCCTCGTATGCATGCACATTTGTGGTTGGACTCGCATTTTCCCTCATTTCTGCAGCTGCACTTTGTACATAAGCTGTAGTTCAGCTTCAACGTGCTGCCTGGCAACGTATGTAGCGTGCGTGGATAACGCCTCGAGCAGAGAAAGGTAGCGTACAGCTTCGTTAGGCATTGTGAGGTCCGACAAGACAAGGTGTAGTTTAAGTTGACATTATTTCCATGGGTAGAGAGCGAGGATGGTCCGTCTGTGTGTTTGTCTGCCTTTCTGTCTGATGGATCGAATCAAAAAGCTATAGTCCCTTGAGGACTTCATTTCCAGCATGGTCAGTTGACATGTTCTGCTTGTCTTTCGTTTGGTCCTCAAAGCCATCTGACCGATGAGCCACCTCCGCAACTTTCTTGCCTAAGCCTACCCCAGCCCTGCAGATTTGCAATTAAGCTACGCCTGAGGCACAAGCTTGAGCGGGCCGGGGTAGTCAAGCTCCGCATGCAGGAGATCGCGCCGGACCTTTGCTACGACGTGCCTGGATTGCAGAAGATCTTGTCCGAGGAGCCCTTGGCCTTGCCATGGACAGGTTTTTTCAGGCCGAAAGCCGAACCAGGCAGGCCGACATATGTGTGTATATTTATGTGTGTGTATATATATATAATATTATATTATTTGTATGTAACATGGGGATTCCCTGCTAAACTAATTAGAACCACATTCTAAATGTTATTGTCCCTAGAAGAAGGCCGAGCAACTCTCCAAAACATCAACGACCCAAACTCTACCACTGCTGCTAGTAGTGCTACTAAAAAAACTAAAACTACTACTACTACTACTACTACTACTACTACTCCTACCACTACCACTACCACTACCCACTACCACTACCACTACCACTACCACTACCACTACCACTACCACTACCACTACCACTACCACTACCCACTACCACTACCACTACCACTACCACTACCACTACCACTACC